AATGAAGCCCCTAGGAGCTGCTGGTTTGGAACTGTCAGAGCACAACATGCTCTGACCCCCCGGCCCCCCCTGCATCTAACAAGCCTCCTATGCTGGGGACAGTGTAAAGGGGCTGATGTAGAGCTAGCTCCTTTGGGCAGCTATAAGGCTGGTGCAGAGGGACTGTATGGGCCAGGATCTAGCCAAGAAAATGCTACATAAGGAACCGTCCCTGTACACTGCTCTGCATAAGCACAGGGGGTCTGCCCTACATAGAGCAGTTTGCAGGATCAAGGTGCTAACTGTTATTATTAGCAGCAGCTTCAAGTGTTAAGATGAACATAATACACTGACAGGTTTCAGAGGAACAGCCGTGTTAGTCTGTATTCGCAAAAAGAAAAGGAGGACTTGTGGCACCTTAGAGACTAACCAATTTATTTGAGCATGAGCTTTCGTGAGCTACAGCTCACTTCATCGGATGCATACCGTGGAAACTGCAGCAGACTTTATATACACACAGAGAATATGAAACAATACCAGCAGGACAGTGGGGTGGGAGGAGGTATTGTTTCATATTCTCTGTGTATATATAAAGTCTGCTGCAGTTTCCACGGTATGCATCCGATGAAGTGAGCTGTAGCTCACGAAAGCTTATGCTCAAATAAATTGGTTAGTCTCTAAGGTGCCACAAGTACTCCTTTTCTTTTTGATAATACACTGAGCCCCTTAAGATGCTGTGCAGTAGGGTGACCAGATAGCAAGTGTGAAAAATCAGGACAGGGGGGCGGATAACAGGTGCATAAGACAAAGCCCCGAATACCAGCACTGTCCCTGTAAAATCAGGACATCTGGTCATCCTATTATGTAGCCAGATGCCTGCAGGCTATTTTTAAATGTTTTTTTTTGTTTGTTTTGGGTTATAGTATTTAAAAACAAACAAACTGTTTCCTAATGCAGAGAATCCTTGGTACACAGCCAATATAGTGCAGAATTTGAAATCCCCAGGCTCTAGTGTTGGAAACATACATATAAACCTGCATATAAAATTAATTAAAAATCATTTAAAACATTAAGCAAGTATTGAGGAGAAATGACTTAGAGGATGTTTTCCTGCTTGCGAGGAGCTTTCCTGATATAAGACAAGATCCTTAATGACAGGTTTCAGAGTAGCAGCCGTGTTAGTCTGTATTCGCAAAAAGAAAAGGAGTACTTGTGGCACCTTAGAGACTAACCAATTTATTTGAGCATAAGCTTTCGTGAGCTACAGCTCACTTCATTGGATGCATAAAAGTGGAAAATGCAGTGAGGATGTTTTTATACACACAGACCATGAAAAAATAGGTGTTTATCACTTCAAAAGGTTTTCTCCCCCCACCCCACTCTCCTGCTGGTAATAGCTTATCTAAAGTGATCACTCTCCTTACAATAAGAAAAGGAGTACTTGTGGCACCTTAGAGACTAACCAATTTATTTGAGCATGAGCTTTCGTGAGCCACAGCTCACTGTGGCTCACGAAAGCTCATGCTCAAATAAATTGGTTAGTCTCTAAGGTGCCACAAGTACTCCTTTTCTTTTTGCGAATACAGACTAACACGGCTGTTCCTCTGAAACCTCTCCTTACAATGTGTATGATAATCAAGGTGGGCCATTTCCAGCACAAATCCAGGGTTTAACAGGAAGCGGGGGGGGGGGGGGAATCATAGAATCATGAGGAAGGGGGTAGGAAAAAACAAGGGGAAATAGGTTACCTTGCATAATGACTTAGCCACTCCCAGTCTCTATTCAAGCCTAAATTAATTGTATCCAATTTGCAAATGAATTCCAATTCAGCAGTTTCTCGCTGGAGTCTGGTTTTGAAGTTTTTCTGTTGTAATATCGCAACTTTCATGTCTGTGATTGCGTGACCAGAGAGATTGAAGTGTTCTCCGACTAGTTTATGAATGTTATAATTCTTGACATCTGATTTGTGTCCATTTATTCTTTTACGTAGAGACTGTCCAGTTTGACCAATGTACATGGCAGAGGGGTATTGCTTGCACATGATGGCATATATCACATTGGTAGATGTGCCGGTGAACGAGCCTCTGATAATGTGGCTGATGTTATTAGGCCCTGTGATGGTGTCCCCTGAATAGATATGTGGGCACAGTCCTTAATGTCGGCATTCAGCTTCTGTGGCAGTGAACATGGGACAGATGGCCAGACAGATCTTTGAAATCTGGGCTTGGCAATCTGAGAGGTCTCGACACAGCAGGGAGAGTGAGAAAACAAAGGCCCAATTCTGCTATCAGTTAGTTGGACAGAAGTCCCACTGATTTCCATATTTGTGCCCATTATTTGGCAGAATTAGGCCCCAAGAGCCTATCCAAAACCAGTGGGGAAATGGGCAGAAGAGTCTCTGTGAGATTTGAAGAAAGTAGACAAGATGTATAGGAAGGGCCTGATTTTTATTTAAATTTCCTGAGATTCTGGTTGATCTGGGCCCTGTTTAATTATAGCCTATGCTGCCCTTTCCTCCAAAAACCTCCAAATAATTTGGCATGGCTGAGAATCCCTGTTTGGGAAAGACTTAGGCAGGGCTAGACTTATGAAGGCACAACGATGCTTTAGTGGCATTGCCTCTCCAAGCCACATGACAAAATTAAGTGTCATGGCTAAGATGGCAAGGAATAAGCATAAGCCAAATAGCTTGTGGAGTGCCAGAGAATGTCGTAGTGCTCAACATGAAAGGATTTGGGCCTCCCTCTCGTAGAAAGAATAGCCACTGGGAGCAGGTTCAGAGAGGTGGAACTGATGGCTATTGGGGTCCTCTGTCTGCTGCGGGTGTTCCTCGTGGGAGAGCCCCATAACAAGTTGCTTATACTCACAGGTGATGAGCATAGCCCATAGAAGGGCCAGAGAATTCCCCCACCTCAGCCCCTATTGGCCCATTTGCCGATACGAGGGCACTGCAGTGGGCAGAGGGATGTAGCAGTTATGGGAGGACACCTTAGCACTTCCCCAGATAGGTGCAACTTTACCTTCTTCCAGAACGTGCTCGTCACTTGCAAGCATTGCCATGCCAGGGCTGGTGCTGGACAGAGGCTGCTACCTTGCATCAGCAGCGAGCTGTGCAGGCAAGAGGACTCCGAGGTTGTTAGGCTGAGGTGTGCGCTAGAAGAGAAGTGCAAGTGTCTTTGGGACCATGGGAGCAGCACATGAGGCTGAGAAAAGGAAGCATTCTTCAGTACTGGGAGAAAGCACAGGACACTGTGAGAGCGGCTAGGAAAGGTAATTGATCTGATCCAGGGGGCACAGGGGAGGGGGGAAGGAGCTGATTGAACTGGAGGAGCTTGCAGGCAGAGGGACTGGTATCCCTGTCCTGCTGTAATTCTCACACAGCTTCTACAAATATATAAGACCAAAGGGAGCCTGAGATGCACTGGCAGAGCTGGGGTGAGAAGTGTGCTCAGCAACAAAGCATAGGAGTTTTTGGCTCATGATTTACAATGTCAGGCTGAGGAAAACAAGGAGGTAAAGCAAGGGCTAAGGCGAAATCTCGCTTCTCGCGGGCTGGGTTGCAGTTCCCGGTGAGTCGAGTGCACCGCTTGCTCCGCAAAGGTAATTATGCTGAGCGGGTGGGGACTAGAGCCCCGGTGTATATGGCCACGGTGCTGGAGTATCTGACCACTGAGATTCTCGAGTTAGCCGGCAAAGCTGCTCGGGACAACAAAAAAACCAGAATCATTCCCTGCCATCTGCAGCTCGCTATCCTAACGACAAGGAGCTCAACAAACTGCTTGGGAAAGTGACGATTGCTCAAGGGAGTGTCCTGCCCAACATCCAGGCCATGCTGCTGCCCAAGAAAACCGAGAGCCATAAGGCCAAGAGCACGTGAAACTGATCAGGAAGAAGCAAAAATCTTCAGTCCAAAACCACAGATTGGTCCTTGCTCTTACCAGTGCTAATCACTGCATTTTGAAAGCCTGAGCAGCAGCAGGTAGGGGTGGGGTTGTTGATCTGGCGACGATCTCTCCTCTAGCTTCTGACTTGTGATTTCACAGGCCTACACCTCACGTGGGTTTTTTTCTTCTTGGTTGCTTTTCATTGTTACACCAATCCACTCCTTTTTTGCACCGTGTTTCCCTTCTTTCCCTCTCTCCCCCTTCACTTCTCCTTGAGTATCTAGACGGAACTTCACACAGCTTGTCTTCCCAAGTGCCCCAACTTTGCCGACAGACTCCACTCGTTCAGTGGAAAAGCATCCGTCATTTCTCTTGTTGGTGTCAGAACAGCACCATCCAGCACAAATTAAACCCATCAATCAGTTCAGCTCCATCTTCCCGGTAGTTCAACAGAGAGTAATGAATAGCAGGGAGGGGTTTTGAGATCCTATAGTTTCTGTCACTTTCTGGGGAAGAAGAATGAGGATTTTGTATCATTATTTGTGGTGGGAAATGGTAGGCAGAGTGGGCAGGTGGGTTATTATATGGTAATGAACTTAACCCTTATCAGTGGAACCAGAACTGCTCAGTCATCTGTGTATCATAGGCCCTGTACTGCTAATACACATAAGTGGGTTTCTCCTTTTGATCAAGTAGAAGGGTCTGTAATTTCAGAGCAGGAAGGTCTTGGCACTAATTTTCACTGCTTCTGTATACCTCTGAATGGCTGTGATGTTCAGCATAGCGATAGCCATGAGGTTCCTGTGTGGCCATGAGTATGTTCCAGTATACTGATATATCTGAACTCTCTCAAGCATGTTGCTTTGTGAGTGATACAGAAGAAGCTAGGTTGGACCCTGAGGCAGAAATCTTTCACCCAAATTCAAAACACTCAGGTTAGCACTGGAGCTGACATTAATAGCTCATTAAGAATTGTAATCTTTCTTTATTTCTTTAAACACATATAGGGCTGACTCATGTATATTTATGCCCCTTTACACCACTCTGGCAATGGAAAGTGGCCTTAGACTGGATATAAATTATTATTAAGAACCAACACTGTCCTGCTTTGAAATTGCAGATCCCTTTCAATTGAGCGAAAGGAGAATCTCCCTTGGGTGTTAGCAACACAGGGACTATGACACACAGTCGAGCAGTTTTGGTTTCCTCCAATAAAGGTCAGTGATGCGCCTGCACACACATACATACATGCGCGTGCCAGTACTTTAAGTCCCATGACATTGCCAGTGTGATATAAAAGAGAATCAGGCCCTTATATGCCTAATGGTTAAGATCGGGGATTGAGAGTCAAGAACAACAGGGTTCTGTCCCCAGCTCTCCCAGAGACTTGCAGTTCATCTTCAGTAAATCACTTGACCTCGTTTTACAGATGGACAAATGGTTGCACAGAGAGGTTGATACCTACCCTCCTGTGTCATTTTCAGAGCCTCTTGTAAAGCACTAGTTTAGTGCTTGTGATTATGTCTCCCTCTAGTGGCTGAACCCAGAGACTCCACGACCTGCTACTTGCTACCAGGGAACTTATTTCGCAGAACAGCTTGTGCTTTTATTGCAGAAGTTCCAGGATTCGATCCTCCCTGGCAACCGTGTCTTTTCATGTAAGTGGCCACAATTTATTCCGCTTGCATGCATGGTGCTATGGAAGTGCCAAATATCACTAGTATCATCATCTTTGGATTTAATCTGCTGAACTCCAACAAGACTGGCTCAAGCAGGGGCTGATTTTTTGTCTGAACTGTTTGCCAAGCACTAACTGAAAATCATTCTTCTAGGAGGTCAAGGAGGACAAGCTGGTGGGATGATTTAGCAGCTCAGTTCATGCTGCTACATGTCGCAGAGCAGATAAAACTTCAGGACTCTTGCTCATGGAGTTGGAACTCTCACTATGGCAAGGTGTGAGTAGCAAGCATCTGCAAAGCAAGGGGCTTGGTGTTACAGAGGGGAATTAGAAAGTAACTACCCTGAAGTCAGTGGAGCTTCAGCAGTGTGAAATTGGTGTGAGAGGAGAGTTAGGCTCCAAGTGTCTCCTGCTAGCTGATCCACGGAATAGCCCTGGTGTCGTCCTTAGAAGTGTCACCCTCCAGTCTGGAGTGGGAGCCCAGAATTGGTGATGGCCGAAGAGAGTTACAATAGAGGGAGAGAAGTGGTGGTGGTTCACTAGAAAGGAACCAGGGGAGAGCCTCTTGAGCCTGCTGGAACCAGGTACAAATACAGAGATAAATCTCCTTCCTATAGCTGAGGTACGTACCATAATTGACAAAAGAACAACCCCAAATGCCTGTCTCTCAGGGATGGGTGGCACTGAGTGCTCTCCTACAAGGAATGCCAAGAGAGGAACTGATGAGGTTAGAATCTCTGCAGAGCTATGAGAATTTGGACCAAACTCAATTGAGGAAGGATTAGAAACTTTACAGAGTAGCCCTGGATGGGTGTTGCTGGGTTCAAGGTCCACTCTGTCTCCTGCAGTGAACGCAGAGTGATAGTTGTCAGAGGATCAAAGCCAAGCCACTCCTGATTTTATGATTGCAGCATAATATGCCCTGGCCAAGATGATACACAGTCAAAGGAAAGCAGGGGCAGAGCCTGGCTTGTGGGATTGGAAATGGACTGAAGAGCCTTTGAACTCTAGGTTACCAAACTGAGGGTGGAAGTCACCAAAAATCTTTCCTAGCTGGCCACTGTCTACATGAAAGGAGGTGGTAGTGTCACTTCTGTTCCTAATGGATGAGTGTCCATATCACAAAAGCCACTATCCCCATTGCAGAGTACATGCACATGTTAGCAGATGTAAGACCATCGGAACTACTATACTGGATCAGACCAATGGACCAGTTAGTGCTGGATAATGCCAGATGCTTCAGAGGAAGGTGTAAACCCCTGCAGTACACATCACTATAAACCTCTACAATCATTCCACCGTGGGGGAAATTGCTTTCCGAGCCCATCTGCTGATGCCCTGAAGCAGGAGGTTTAACTGTTGTCCCAGCTCATATAGCTACAGCTGCTGTTTGCTCTCAGCAGAGACGCTAAAGATTGAATGGGTTGTGGACACTGGACTGAGCTCTCAGTCCCTCAGTCCCTGTGGATGCTCCCTCCACATCAGGATGCACAGTGCAGAAGGTTGGCCTGCTACTTCCCCTTCTGTACCTGGGCTGTGCACTGAGGATTTCAGTCACCAGGGCTGAAAATCCAGCATCTAAACCCATTGATGTATAAAGAGACAGGAGAGCAGCAATCCAGCGACTGAAGTGATATTAGACTCTGGAAATAAGGCATGACTTTTTAACAGGGAGGGTGATTAACCACTGGAACAAACTGCCAAGGGGAATGGTGGGTTCTCCAGCTCTTGATGTCTCCAACCAGAGTGGATGCCTTGTTGGAAGATCTGCTTTAGCCAAACACAAGTTATTAGGCTCAGTACAGGAGTAGCTAGATGAAATGTAATGATCTGTGATATACAGGAGGTCAGACTAGTTTGATCTAATGGTCCCTTCAGGCTTTAAACTCTATAAAGCTGTGAAACCAAATGAGGGATTAGTTCAACTCCCCTTGCAAAGAATCACCTCCAGTCTGCATTATTGGCCTGTGCCCCAACAAACTCATTACATCCATAGTTGCAAAGCATTCTGTCTCATCTAGGCTGGGCACATTCATCCCTGTGTCCTGGTCTATTTCCCCACCCTCCATCCCAACTCCTCTTCCTCCCCACAGCCTGGAATATGACAAAAGGGCAAAGATAAGAGCAAAAAATAACAATCAGAAATTAATATTCAATTACACAGGCGCCAGATAAGCGAATGAATCAATGAATCAATCTGTGCCACAGGCAGATAAGCGACTGCCTCTGGCCCTGAGAAGCAGCTGTCTCCTAAGAGATAAGGAGGTCATCCTAAAACAAAACCATTTCCTGCATCCTCCCTCTGGTACAGCCCCATGTCTCCCTCGCTCCCTGTTTCTCTTCCTTCTCCTTCCATAGTCATTTCATCTCCCCCATTACTGCAGCCGAGATTCAAAGCGAGCCCTGCAGAACCAGAGCAAAACAAAAGGAGAGCTGAAAAGAAAAGGTTTCCTTCCTTCTGTGCAATGTGACTGTTGCCTCTGCGTACCCCCTTCCAGATCTCTGACATCTTTTCCTAGCAGCAGCTGTGCTGCAGAACATAGCTGGACTGGAAGCCAGGGGAGAGGCAGAGAGATAACGGGGCGATACAGAGACAGCGAGGCAGAGCTGAAGGGATTTCTCTCTTGCTGCAGGCTCAGGGCTTACGGAGAGAGTTAATACATTTGGCTGCCTGCAGACACTGATAGGAAAAAGCCATTCAGGGCTGGCAGCAGAGGGGAGAGGATGGGGGTGAAAAGACTGAGAGCTTGCGGCATCTTTGACTCCCTTTTGTATTCAGCCCTTGTGAGCTGCCCTGTAATCCTGCAAGACAGAGATCGGCGGCTACTGTAACTGCAGCAAGCGCGCGAGTGCTGATGTCGGAGCGAGCGGAGGTTCATCCCCTCCAATCTCTGTACATCAGGCTGAAAAACAGCAACCGAGAGCTGTCTGAACAGCTAAGTCTCAGTCGTGGCCGACATTGCCCATGCATCACAATGAGCCAGGGCGGAAAACAAGCCCAATATCCATTGGCGCCTCTCAGGGCCTCTTCTTGTTCTAATATGTTTGGCAGAGAGCATGTGGCTGAATCCAAGAGCAGCAAATGCATTTTCTCGCCCCCGTACCGTGCTCCTTCATCATCTATCCATCCATCACCGGTTATTAGGGCTGGCCTGCCACGTCAGCTCCAATAGTCCCTGTTCCGGACGAGAGACCAGTTGAAGGCTTATTTAAATATTTCCTGACAGCTGCCTTTTGGGTGAGACTGCAAAGCCTAAGTCTTGCTCCTAAGCAGCTCTGAGAGATCCCAGGGCACATATTGCAAGGGTAGGGCTCGCCATCCCAGGGTCCTGGCTGAATTCCAACTCAGTTCATTGCACTATGCCTGTCTCACGTTCCTCTGCTGGGTCAGTTGGATGCAGTGGCCAAGATTTTCAGAAGTGGCTAGTGCTTTGGAGTGCCTTGGGTTGTGGGGCTTCCAACCAGAGACACTTGAAAGGGGCCTAGTTTCAGAAGGTGCTGAGCACCCACCCTCTGAATATCAGACCCTTGTAAGGCACCTCAGGCTGGGCCCCCCCAATATTGAGGTATCCACAGTCACTAAATTCTTGGCCACTATTCTGAGGGCTGGTTTCAGTCAGTCTCGGGTCCTCTGCAAAGCTGTTCAGTTGAGCCCCAATTGTTGCCATGCCCACGAGTCCATGGATGACCTTCCCCACTCCACACACCTCCCCATCGTTCCTCTGGCTCGCCAGCTAGAGGGAAATTCAGTGCCAGGTGGGGGACGGGAAGGCCAGTAGGGAATGTGTCTACAACTGGTGCAAGTAAGGGCAGCTAGGAGCACAGCAAATTGAGGCCTTCTGTCCAGACACCCCAGTTTCCCCAAGCAGAGCTCTTGGGCAACTTGGGTGTCACACCATGTGCCGGTAGGCCATGAGCACTGACTAGTATCGCACTAGTATTTCAACATGGTCTACGTAGGACTCAGGAGGTCCTGTGCCCCACCACACACTGCACGTGACTTGGGCAAGTTACTTAGTCCCAGAACCACAAAGCTATTTAGGCTCCAAACTTCCACTGATTCCTAAGTCTCTTAGGCCTCAAAGCTCCTCAACTTCCATTCATTACAGCGTATGCAGCGTAGTTGTAGTCCTTCTGATCTAAAAAAGAGCTCTGTGTGGCTCGGAAGCTTGTCTCTCTCACCAACAGAAGTTGGTCCAATAAAAGATATTACCTCCCCCACCTTGCCCCCCATTGGTTTCAGTGGAAGTTAGGATCCTAAATACCTTTGTGGATCTGTGCCTGAATTCCTCAGTTGTAGAATAGGGAATAGCTCTTCCCTGCTTCTCAGGGACGTTGTGAGGATGAATACATTAAAGATTGGGAGGTGCTCAGATATTAGGGTCATGGGGCCCATGTGAGTGCCTAAAATAGGATCAGGGCCCCTCTACATCATGGCCGAGAAGTGTCTCTGTGATCTGAGCTCCTGCTGTGGCTGCTGGTTTGACAGCTCTCTTTGCCTTCTTCCCTTCCTGTCCTAAGCTTTTGTGTAATGCTGCTGCAGCTGTGTCGCATTACTGAGTGTTGTTTCACCTCCAGAGGTGCATGCATCAGTTTGTTATGCTCTTTGGGATGCTGTGTAAGTGCAGGACCATGAGCGGAGGCTGACTGATTAGAGGATTGTTTACTGGGGACATGGAGCTGCTGGCTCAAAGCCAGACCAGGTGGGGAGCGACCAAAAGTTGTGACCATCTGATGCCTTTTTGATGTGAAATGAGATTGATGGTCCTAGTCCAGTTGCTCATGGGCAGGTACACAGTGCTAGTCTCTCCAGTGAATGGGCTCGGGAGAATGAACTCCCACTCCAGAATAGGGTGGAAGTACATGGGTGGGGCAGTATGGGGAAAGCTAGCACTCCTGGGATCCATGCTGTGTCCCAGTCTCTAGGGCTGTTGATCCAGTATCGTTTGCCAGCACTAAATCAACTTCAGACAGAAAAAAAAATAGTGATTCCTAAATGATTTGCATGGATTTACGACTTCATGTCTCTTTTAAAGGATCTTCCCCACACGGTGGCATTGGGAACATGAACAGTAACGCTTGCTCAACAGGGCTGGAACACATCCCCGACTCTTCAGAGAACAGATCCCTGAGTCTTCACAAGAGAGCCTGATCTGAAAGGCCCAGGCTCAAAATCACAGCTAGCTCGTTTTAAGCTTTTTTTTCCTTTGAGATTGCATCAAAGCCCATGCATGGTTTTCTGTTGCCTTCATTGAGAGCAAGACCAGGATCTTACTCCTCATGGCAGTCATAATCATTCCAGGTGATTTTTCCATTTCCCTGGAGAGAATGCAGTGCTTGGATCTCTTTGAGTTCACCCACTGCCAGCAGTTGGACAATTTCTAGACCTGCTAGCACTGAACATGGGTCAGCCTGGAATTCAGAAAGATCGGACATTTCATCTTTCTAGGGCACTGCTATCCCCTAGTGGCAAGCTGGAAAAGTGACATGTCTCCCTGCTGCTTTAAACTGGGAAATGATATAGAGAGGGTGCAGACTGAATGGCTAAGAGTTATTTACCCCTTTTTTACACACACCACCCTCCTGTCCCTCACATGACTGCAGATGATCTTGGACACACAGGGCAGTCTGGATTATTGAAAAGAGAGGCAGATGGCTATGTAGACATTTTTAGTTTACCATCAGAGAGTCCCTGTAGCTTTTAGAATGTGGGGTTGTGGAGGTTGAATGCCTGGGTGGATATGATCTCCGCCTTGTCTATTAGAACCTGGATGTTAAGCCATAAATCATCAGAATGGGGATTTTCTCTAGGTCTACAATAATTTCTCAGACTTGACCTTGATGCAGAGAGAACACTAGATAGGCAATTCTTTTAGATAGAAATAAGTCCCAGCTTGACAAAGCCCTGGCTGGGATGATTTAGGTGGTGTTGGTCCTGCTTTGAGCAGGGGGTTGAACTAGATGACCTCCTGAGGTCTCTTCCAACCCTAATCTTCTATGATTCTATGATAAAGAGAATTACATGGCACAAGGAATTAATAATCTCTGTACAGTCAGAGATGAGATGACCACCATTTTTTTATTTTGTTGGAGAGTGGCTAGAATTTTATTAATTTGAGTTTATCAGGATAATGGGAAAAATTCTGAAAAGCACATAAGTGACTTGGGAGCCTAAAGCACATTGATTTTTTCAATGGTACATGGGCTCCTAAATCCCTAATGTGCATTTGAACATTTTGCCCAATGACAATAATGTTATTTATCAAGCCTCCTGCCAAAGGGGTTGGCTGGTGTACATTAATTATTACTTTAATTTGTATTACAGTAGCATCCACAGGGCTCAAGTGAGATAATGGTCCCATTGTGCTAGGCACTGTACAAATGCACGAGAGAGTCAGTGACCCAAAGAGCTTACAGTGTAATTCAATGCCCATTCAAATAAATAGATTCTTCCTATTGACTTCTGTTTTAATTTAATCTGGCCATAAACAGACAAGACAATAAAGAGATTTTAAAATAAAATTAAACACAGAGAACAAACAGAGATGCGACTGGCACAGGGCAAAAAGGGGAGGAATCAAGTGTAGGCGATTATCCCTGTAGGGGGAGCACCAGATGGGGCTCAGAGGTGGTTTGCACATTGTCTTTCAGAGGCACATGTTCCTGAGTAGCTCTGCAACTGGGTCTGATCAGACAAGAACCCCTTAGAACCATCACTCTGAGAGTCTGAACTGAGTTTTGATTAGTGGGTCCACCCCTCCCCCCCACTCTAGTTTCTAGCTGGGTAGAGGCCACGTGAGAAAGACTCTTCCCATAAGATCCTCAGGAAGGAGAGGTTTTGAGAGGCTTGGGCTGAACATTCAACCAGTTGAGCACATACCAAAGCACTGACCCTCATGAGTTTCACCCAGCCTGAGAGATGCCGTGGCTTTGGCCCTCTTTCCCCACCAGGCCCTGACAGCTGACGTCCCAGCTGCCACCGCTTTTCCTGTCCTGAGGGAGAGATTCGAGGTCCACCAATGAAACGTAAAGCAAAAGCTGCTGGAGCGGCAGTTCCAGCCGACAAGCTGAACAGGGCGGGAAAGCAGGAGGCAGACTGGCATCTGAGAGATTGCTTTTTTTAACTCTGAAGAGAAATTGGCCAAGCAGCACATGTTCCCTGAGGCGGTTTTGCTGCTTCAAGCTCATTTGCGGATGAAGGTTCCATTTTTTCGATCCTCCATCTCCTGTTCCGTACTAGTCCTGGTTCCCCTGGAAGTTTTGGTTCTGATGAGTACCTCAAGCCCCCTCATTTCTCCTTTTTCAATTGGCACCTTGGCTTTTTACTGTTAAAAACTGTGGGTTTTGAGCCCCTTCCCGGCCTCGTTTCAGAGTGGGGGAGCAATTGGAAAAGTTGGGGCACTGTCATATCTGCCTGACTGGGGAGCAAGAGCTGCCTGGAATTGGAACAGGAAGTTGATCCATTTCTGTATTGCCTGCACCTCTCCCTCCGAGTGATCCTGCCATACCCAGAGAGGAACTGTGTCCGACTGAACTCATACACCTGCCTGCTCTGCATCATCTCTGACCCTAGACTGCCCAACAATGAATTGAGTCCTACTGCATCCTCACTGTAACCTTGCCTGCCATATAAATGTTCGTGCCCTTTTGTACTTTGGCACCAGCCTGGCACTGCTTCACCTCAGTATTTCTGGCCTGATGCTGCAGAGTTAGGTTCCACTTGGGCACTTGGCAAGATGTAAGAGCAGCTCGCAGGAGACATCTGAATCTGATACCATCTCCTTTGCTCTGAACCCCAGTGAAGAACAAGAGGCTGAGCAGCTCAGTAATACAGAACAAGTGACAGTTTGATTTATTCTGATGTTAGTGAGGAGCTTCTTGTGCTGCGTAACAACACATCCAGCAGCTCTCCAAAGAGGCAGCATGCATACCAACCTGAGCATTAGGAACTCCTGAGTTCTAATCCTGCCTCTGCCACTAATTCAATGTATAGCCTTGGCCACATCACTTAATACCTTTGTGTCTCAGTTTCCCATTTGTTAAATGGAATAATTATCCATGTGCTCCTCCTTGGTAGAGTCTGGATCCCCCTCAAAGTATAGTGTGATTGGAACCCAGGCTTGGAGAAGGGAAGAATGGAAAGAGGTATGTTGCTCTCTGATCACAATCTAATTTAAAGTTGCAGTAGCGCTATCTTCTTTAGAGTTAGCCAACGACCTATGAGGGAGGGAGGATCAGTGACTTGCCTGAAGTCACCCAGGAAAATTTATGGCTGAGTCAGGAACTGAACCACATCTCCTGAGTCCAGGGCCTTAACCAAAGACCGTCCTGCCTTATTCAAGGGGATGCTGAGATGGTGTTTACCTCACACTGATCAACACACTGAGGGCCATATCCTCAGCTGATGTAAATCAGCGCTGCTCTGCTGAAGTCAATGGGGCTATGCTGATTTACACCACCTTAGGATCTGGTCCTGAAAGTTCCAAAAGAAATAGCTGCCCCTGAATAGGTATGAGCATATGTCCTCATGCCCGTGTGCTATGCGTCTTGCAGAGGGGTGTCGCCTGTTAGGGATTATTCACATTCATTATTGCCTGGCAGAGATAACAGTCAGGTACTGAAGCAGAGGGCACCATGGGTTGCTTAGAAATGCCCTAAGTTTTGGCTGCCTGCCGGTAAGAGATACCTCATGATACACACAGATGCCTTTTAAAAACATTAAGCAAACACAAACACTCCACATACAAACCCCACATGACAAAGTCACAAAACAAACACACAGACACAGGAATGAAAAATCGTGAACCCCAAACAAAGGGAAACACTCAACGTTTAAAATACACGAGACCAGATTTTCCCTTTACAATAAAAACGTGAGCAGGGCAGAAGAGGAACAAAGCTAGAAAAGAGTAAATTGCATCCTGTCATCTCACTAAGAATTTCCAATAGGGCGAGGCAGATGTTTCATAGAAGGAAAAGGTGACGTTTATTCAAATGTAGTAAAAGTAGCCTCATTTATGACTCCTGGAGACTGAGTATGCAGCTGTTTGCCTATAACAAAACAATCATGTCAAACGGGAGATCCCTCTTGCTGTGTCAAGGGAGCAGGCATGGGAGCCAGCAGGTGTTTCAGCAGGAGCATTCACACAGGCAATATGAGGGTGGGACTGTGGTGCTGAATCCCGGGAGAGGATAACTTGTGAGAAAGGTCAGTCTGAAGGGGATAAGAAGAGCGAGTGCTGTACACTCTGTACAGTAGGGGCCTGATATTTGGAAGTGCTGAGCAGCCACATCTCAAATTGAAGTCCCTGGGTGCTGACGATATTTGTCCCCTCTGAAAATCAAGCCCTACGTGGAGAGAGAGAGCGCTGCATGCTTTATCTATTAGCGCTTCCCATTTCAATCCGGCCGTAGCCACGCATACCTATTAGCTCCAGAACAGCGGTCTCACAAATGCTGAAGTTGGAAAACAGCGGATTGTTTTGTACAACCAGTAACGTCTGCTGCAGAGTTAAGCTAACAAGATTTATCTCCCATCACAAGCACCTAGGCCATTCAAAGTCAATCAGCTGGAAACCAGAGCTCCTCCATTCAATGACATTAACCTGAACACCAAAGAGCTTATGACCTAATGTGGAGGGGTTCTAGCAGGACCATATTGCCAACAGATTGTAAGCTCCATGGGGCAGAGGCTGTTTCTTCCTATGTGTTGAACAGTGTCTAGCACAACAGGGTCTTGATCTGGATTAGAAATAAGTCAATATATATTATCAATATGACATGCATATCACTAGAATGGGCTATTTCAATTTGGCATCAGCCCATTCAGCAAATACATCGTCCCCCGAAGCACAATAACCTCTCATTAGCAGCAGAATTAGATACAAAGAGGGGCAGAAGGAGAAATGTATATCTGTCCTATGCAAATACAGGGAACATGTCGAGTTCAGGATGTAGCCCTGGCCACACCTCCTGTTGGGAAAGCCACACCCACTTTTCCATACCAAAAGTGAACTAGCCACTTGTAACTTTTGGTGTAACTTGCTCCAATGGAATTCACAACATAGCCAGACAACACATGGAAATGTACCACAGGGCATACCCACAAGTGCATACAGAACACAGAGCCAAGCAAGGCCAAATCTACACTGGAACCTTTTGCTGGTATAATCGCATCGGTTAGGGGTGGGGGTTTTTTTAAATGACATTTCAATACTTGCAAAAGCCCTAGTATAGATGCAGTTATACCTGCTAAAAAGTGCTTTTGCCACTATAGCTTATTTCGCTTGCCAAACCAGGATAAGCTATGCCGGCAAAAGCATTTTTTGCCAGCATACGTTGCATCTACACTAGATGGTTCTGCCAAATAGCTATATGGGCAAATCGTCTCTAGTGCAGACTTGGACCAAGACATGTAGGAAGCACCTTGGACTGTCTGGCGCTGTTGGAGCAGAGATTGTGTGGTGTGGCTGGTGGTGGCCATCTCACCCCATACCGCAGAGACAGCAGGACTAGTGAGGGGAGAGAAAACTTTGGTATTGGGGACTGTGCCTTTAAGGGCTGAGCGTCCTAGACAGAAACATCTGAGGTCACTCTCTCTCCATGAAAAACCTCTTCAACCCAAACTGGGAGATCAAGCCCCCTCAATAGGAAAGACTCTCCTCTATTTTCAAGCTCCCCCATCCCTACTTTGAGACTGTCACAGTAGTATGATGGATAAAGATGACCACAAAAAAAATTAGTTTTTTTTTTTATTTCCCTTTTTTTCACCTCAGAAATATCAGGAATGTCAAGCCCCCTCTTCCCTGGTTTTGTGGGAGGACTTCTTGGGAGATTCACATGTGCTTACAGGCACTCAGCAGCTTAGCTTAGTGGTTCTCAATCAGGGGTACGTGTACCTCTTGGGGTAAGCAGGGTCTTCCAGGGGGTCCATGAACTCATCTAGATATTTGCCTAGTTTTACAACAGGCTACATAACAAGCACTAGCGAAGTCAGTACAAACTAAAATTTCAAGCAGATGATGACTTGTTTATACTTCTCTACATATTATACACTGAAATGTAAGTACATTTATATTCCAGTTGATTTATTTTATAATCATATGGTAAAAATGAGAAAGTAAGCACTTTTTCAGTGATAATGTGCTATGATACCTTTGTATTTTTATGTCTGATTTTGTAAGCAAGTAGTTGTTAAGTGAGGTGAAACTTGGGAGTACGCAAGACAGATCAGACTCCTGAAAGGGGAACAGTAATCTGGAAAGAGCCACTGGCTTAGTTGAAGAGTTTTAACAAAGATGTACTTTCTCCAAAGTGTTCATTGAGCATTGAAATTAGATTAATAAAACAGAACAGTCTGATGAAAAATTCCTCCCCATCCCAATTGTTCAGTCTCCTGTGTATGGCATAGTTTCACTAATTTTTCAGAAACTTCCAAGGTAGATAAGACCTGATTTTCTAAAGTAAAAACAGATTATTATTTTTTTAAAAAATCTTTCAGAACTTCTAATCAAAAAGACAGAAGCCCAATCTTTGTTTCTTTTACAGGTTAAATTTAAGACGTGAAAGGGACAGGACTGGATCACCCAGTGGATTTACTAACTCTCTAACAAGCTCAGATGTCACAGTGATGATCATTGGACAGATAGATGGGTTAGATGTGCTTGCTCACCTATCTAAGACAGAACCAGAGAGCTCTCCTCAGTTTTCCAGGCTGTAGGATCATTTCCCCCCAGTTTGGAGGCTGAGCCATACTGCTGTCAGGAATTATTTGTGTTTATGACAATAATGGGCCCAGTGCTGCTTTCATTTATAACAGTGTAAATCAGGAGTGAGCCCATGGCAGCCAATAGAATTACACAGGTGTAAAGTCAGTGTGAGAGCAGAATCAGCTCCAGGGTAGTTAGTATGAATAAGAACAAAGGGCAAAGTTCTCTGCTGGTATAAATGGGTAAAACTCCATTGAAGTCAGGGGAGCTGCAACCATTAACAACAGCAGAGAACTTGGACCAAGATTTTGATGAGAGACTCTCATCAGCTCGGTTTTCCTCTCACACTGGTATAAATAGCTCCTCTGGAAAAGTTTAAAAAACACTGAGAGCAGAGTCAGACCCTTTATAATCATTGGTATTGCTGTACTAGAGGCCCTGACCAAGGCCCCATTGCAGTAGATGCCATACAAACACATAGCAAGAGATAGACAAAGGATGGGAGGGGAAAATGAGGCACAGACAGGGGAAGTGACTTGCCAAGGTCACACAGGTCAGTGGCAGAGCCAGGAACAGCACCCAGGTCTCCAGAGCCTTAGGCTAGGGCCCCAGCCATTACGTCACACTGCTTGGCTCGACCACAATTCCATCACATACAACCATAGCATTCACCCACATTGGATCAGTGGGAGGGTTTGAACCATAGACCTTCAGATCAGCCCTGTATTACTTAAGCCATCTTCCTTTCCTTCTTGCTCAAGGTAGAATCAGTCCTTTTCTTGAAAAGCTGAAAGATCTTCACAAGATAAAAACCATGATAATACGTAGCCCTTGTATACTAGCTTTTGTGTGAGGTTCCCAAGAATGGAATGCATAGGATAGCTCGGCTTCAGCTACTTCAGAGCAGAGTCCAAAACCACAGAGGACAAAATAAAATAATTACTGAAAAATACACACTAGAGAGGAAGGCGACACAGTGGTTTCAGATGCATCAATGCCCTGTGGCTCACAGCTTATGGAAAATGGAGAGCTTGGTACTCAATAAATGGTGAGAGGAGAAAACAACCCATCTGCTTGTTTGTGTGTTTTATTCAAAATGAATCACAGAGCCATGAGTTGCTGAGCCCTCCATTAATAACCCTGACAGCTCCTCTCCGTCTGTAATTGAAGCAGCTCCAGTAATGAAGGTGTTACTCCAACAAGCTTCAAGCAAACCATCTTTCCTGATGTCTCAGGCATCTCCTGGTGGATCTGACAACCCCCAGACATTGTGCATAAAGGAGTCGTGACTAACAGCTTTTGTATTCCCTACAACACCCACTCTGGATTGTTTGATTCTTTCCTGTAGCGTTAGGTGCAGCACCTCCACATAGTCCCACCTACAAAGCCCCCCATGCTGGACTCTGAAGAACATTCCCTCCCAGGACAGGAACTGTCTCCACATCCATGTTTTCCTGGGCTTCCTCTCACTGCTCCTCACCTTCCCCAGCTTGGGAGCCGTTCAGTCTCTAGACACCGATGTTAGGTGTCCACAGTGCTCTGCCAATGGACTCCACCCTGGATGTAGAAGGCCCACATCTCCTGATGTTAGGGACCAATCTTTCAAGGTACCGAATGCCCTCAACTACTGTTCACTTCCCAGGGTCAGGGAAGATCTGAGTTACATGTTTATTCATTGCAGGTCTTTAGCCACAATGCTTCAGAAATGCCTATGATGGAGGAACTCCCGCTCAGCTCGAGTGGGAGAAGAGTCTGGTCTTCATATTAAGTCCCCGCAATTTCAGTTTCCTGTCTGGGCCACCACCTGGGACAACCTGCACATCTCAGTTGTGAGCTTTGTCACCAATTAGTCAGGGCACTGAGACTCAAACAAGTCATTCCACTTGTGGTTAGAAACAGACCAGTTACACCTATTTCCTTTCCTGAGGGTTTTCTTTGTCCCACTGACAAGAGCAATGGGTCTGTTAGACATACATTCTCAATCATCTGAGACACATGAGCTCTCCAAGCCTAGAGTTCCTGTCTATGGATTGAGACACACCCTGTAGCTAAAGAAGAAATGGCTGCGTTCCACAGCAGCCGGACACTTATAGATATAAGCAATCACACTCAGAATCAATTAATTCTTCCCTACCTCCATCCTCTGTGCTCCCGACAGAAATACAAACATTCACTGAAGGCACAGAGTGGGCCTTGTGTTATGAACAGTGGCTGATAAACACCATCTCAGTGTCAGGGGAAGAGAGAGTTGCTCACTTTACACACACATGGGAGGAGAAAGAAGCAGAACACTTTAGCAGAGGCAGGAACTCTCAGGGCTGGGGAGACTGCAGCCTTTGCAGCAAGAGGGGCTGGGCCGGGGAGGTGGAGGGGAAGAGGTTGAGGAACGGTTTAAAAACCTCTCAAAATTCCTGCACACACAAAAGCACAGGTTCAGCATCAGGAGCTCCCAGCCTAGGTGAGGGAAAAAAAGTTTTGGCACTGTGGATTTTCCTGGATCTTGAGCATTACATACCCAAGTTGAATTAGCAGTTATTGAAATGGAGAAGCCTTTGCTGGAGATTGCATGCTGTGCTACTGACAGTCAGTTAGCGCCTCAGAGCTCCCCCAGATCAAATTGCACCTTTATGGCCTGTAGGGATATTAGATTAAAATTATCACATTTCCATTTCCCTGGAGAGGGATCAGGAAATGGATGTGCAGATAGATACACACACACAACCTGAGGTCAGCAACCCCAGCAGGACCCTCCTCTCACCTCAGCATCAGCTAATATGATCATTGGGCTTTAACCCTTTCCAGCCTCAGTGGTCACACAGTGCCACATCCTAGAGCATATTCTGTCAGACCCTGCCCTCTTGTGCCTTTCAGTCTGCAAGTTTCTCTGGGCAGGAAACCTGTTCTTTACCCATGGCACCCATGACTGTATGCAAAGCCTTGTACCCACCCAATATATGACAACCACCCCATGCTTCCACATGCAAATGAGCTGCTCCTGGTGCATTACTGCTCCCACAACTGGATTGATGTCTCTCATCACGTTCCTTCTAATTAGCCAGCTCCCTGCAGCTTGAGAACAGAGCTGATCACTGCCCCCAGCCCTAAGAGCAGCAGAGGGTGGGGGGCTGGGGAAGTGAAGGGGAGCAGCAGCGTCTACGAATCAGAGTCTTTGTGGGGAAAGCTACGCAACACGCGAGATCATCAGGACTCATGACCAAACAAGGCACTGGCTTCATCGTCCCTTTATTGATTACAAAGCATCTAAAAATTTAGAGTGTCTTCAATATATAATCTCCTTTCTATGTACACTACATATGGCTTAGGTTATTTCTCTGGGGGGTGGGAGTGAGTCAGTGATGATAGTCCAGCATGTAGTCCATAGTCCCCAAGCCCTTTTGACTCTCCGGTACCTGTACCTGCATTTTCTTGTTAGCCAGCTCCCCGTGCGGAAGTGCCAAAGGTCTCTTCACCCCTTGTGGGGGTGAACTGAGTCTATCTTCCTCTATTCCCCCCTCTTCAGCCCACAGCCCATCCCTGGGCTCCGGAGGTTGGTAGCCCATCTCATTGGGGTCCAGGGGGTCCTTGGACAATAGGATACAGATGGAGGGCACATTCTTGTGGACAGTGAGGTTCTCCACTTGGCCATCAGGCTGGGGGTCCTTGTTCTCCCAGACCTCCAGCAGGGTCTTGTAACGCACCTTGGTGACCTGGTGGAGACCCCCCAGCTTCCTCTTCATGATCTCCACACAGGTGATGGTCTTGGTGACTGCCCGACCACAGCCACTGAAGACTATCTGCCGGGTACCCTTCAGCTCCATCCTGGCCATGGCAAAGCCCATCAAATTCCTGATCTTGCTGCCCTCCTTCACTTTCATCTCCACCACGCCAGGGGGCAGGTCAGGGAAGGGCAGTGGGCTATCCTGCTCCGATGTCTTGACCTTCCTGAAGTTCTCCATCCTGGACTGGGCTACGGGGGGCATGGGTGTGGATTCCACCCCTTTGGCAGCCATCACTTGCCCTTCCTGGAGGGAAAATGAGTCAGATCAGATGTCTAAACGCCAGCATCCATCCCAGAGACTATCCTTGGCTACAAACTCCCTTTGGTCCAGGTCAGCAGAGAAAGGGGACTAATTTAGTGCTGCTCTTCCATGATTCTGCCTCTTCTGACTGGCTACTCAGCGCTCTCCCTCCCCAGGTGAAGGACTTTCTGTCAAGCCCAGATAGTCCCCTCCTGGCTGTGCCGGAGAATCAGTCCCCAGAAGGGATGGAGCTGCAGAATTCTCCCCGGGTGGGAATTCCTGCCGGTGCCTCCTCTGCTCCCACTGCAGCACTCGCTTCTGCTGCTCTTTGCTTCATTCTGGACTTCAGCAGCCCCCAGAGCTGTTTTGTGTAATTAGCAGATCCTCCTCCTCTCCTCCTCCTCCTCCCCCTCCTGCTCTCCTCCTCCCTCTCCCTACACTCCTGATCAGCCTCCCAGCCCAGCCCGGAGCCCTCTGCTTCATCCCCCAGCTGCACTTCCCTCAGTCTCTGGCAAAAGGAGAGTCTGACTTTTCCCTAGTCCAGGAGCAGCTGTGGGGAGGGAGAGGGAACGGTACTCTTTCTCTTCATGATGCTTCTGGAGTCCTGCCCCCTTAAAGAGAAACTGGCCCCTTCCCATGGGCGATTTCTCCAGCTCAAGGACATTAACTGCTAACTGCAAATGTCAGCAAAGTACAGGCAGCTGCTGCTGCTCGTGCCTCTCCCTGCCTGGCTGGGTCAGCTCCCACACCGTGCACCTCCACAAGGGGCACAGATCTCAGTGGCCCTTCCTTAAAATGTCCTGGTGACTGAGTTTTCCATTGTCTTCTCAGATTCTCCATTGAAATCCATCGCTCTCAGCCAGTCCTTTTGAATGACCCATCCTGACTCAGACAACCAGGTGGCATTCATACCTATGCCTTTTACCGTGCCCTGAGAGCAAACAGTTCTTTTGCACCCAGAGGGTAACAATGCAGCATATGGGGAAACTGAGGTACAAATATTACAGGAAATTTCCAGTTTTGTCACAGGGAGTCTCCTGTGATGGGTGCAGGGAGCCCTGTACCTCAATCCCTGACCCCAGGTCAATGGGGAATCTGCTGTGAGATGTTCAGGGAGACCCTGCCCCCGGATCAGCATAGGACATTTCATCCCCATGTAGGTTATAAGGCTTTTAGCATGATTCAATCTCCCTCTTCAGCCGCCGGAGCAGAGTATTTGGGGACAACTCAGCCTAGACCTCCTAGTCTCAATTGCCCCTTTCCTAGAAACCGGAGGACGAATGCTAGGGCTGAGCTAGGCCCTGGCTGGAGCAACGTGGAGAGAAAATGAGTAAACATGGAAACAGTTCTCCTGCCATCGAGGGGAGTCTGAAAGGGGCTAGACGGATGGGGTACTGAGGATACAGAGTTAGAGCAGTAGGTGAATGCCCATAGTGCCCTGGAGTCCTGCTGGTCCAATGCTGCAGCCAAATGAACTCCGGACTGACTGAACATGGAGTTCCAGTCATGCCCCTCTGGGAGGAGATGGGTCAGGATAAATTCAGAGCAGCATGGTGCATGAACACAGGGACTGAATCCTCTGCTCACTCCAGGAGATGTGTTGGCCCATCCCTGCCTAGGGTCTCTTGGGAGGAAGTGAGATCAGGTGAGTGGGCTGCCTAGGTCAGTGTCTGAGTCCAGCGGTGGGGCAGTGTGTACGAGCCCTGCAATAAATGAGCATGAGGACCATATTACCCTCGATCTCTTCCCAGGAGGGAATGGCCCCTCTGTGCATTGACAGTAATGCTTTCCCACCGAGTAGCGATGAGGGATGGAGAGCCTGCCATTTGGTGATGTCCTCATTCCGCTGCCTAAAAGACGGAGTGAATGAACACAATAAAAGAGACATCAGGAAGGAGGAAAAGCAACCTCGCCGGGAAGGCAAGGATAAATATCCAGTGGGAGGTGGCGTGAGGCTCCCAGTGCTCTGCAAGCAGAATTAGCATTGCTGCGCCCACTGGCACCCACATGCATGGGTGGTGGGTGAACCCCTGGTTTGGGGAGGCCCCACCCCTTCAGTGCCCAAGGGAGCCCCTAGCCCCAGGCTAGCACCCCCAGTCTCTCCTGGCCCCGGAGCACCAGGCAGCGTGGCCCCAGCCTCCCTGGGCTCTGCCGCCTGGCCCAACCCCCCAGCCAGCATGCCTCAGCCACCCCAGTCCGCGTCGCCTGGCCTGACCCCCGGCCGGCCAGAACCCCCGCCCAAGCTGCCAGCCCCAGCCTCAGCACTGGGCTGGTGGCGTAGCCAGAACACCCCCAGCCCGAGCTCTGGGCAGGCAGAATGGCTGGAGCACTCCCAGCCCCAGCACTGGGCAGGCATAAGTTAGAGCAATTCTAAGGTTGCTCTGACTTACATCTGAGGGATAGGGCGGACAACCCAGCCTGCCCTGGCACAATGGAGAGCACAAAGGTGGCTTTTGCCTACTTCCCTCTTCCCTGTGCTAAATGCAAGAGAGAATGGAGCTCTAGTCTTTACTGACTGTGACAGAGGAGCCCAGATCTGCCTGGGAGTGATCAGGCTACACCCCTCCTCCTGACCATGTGATGTGGAAAGGGAGGGAAGATCCCCAGGGTGAATCTTCCCTGCCCTTTAGAGGAGAGAGGGAAAGCCTCTGGCTGGGAGGGTTCAGACACATGGGTCCTCAGAAGAGAGGAGGAGGAGGAGGAGGAGGAAAGAGCCCCCATGGACTGCTAGCTCCTCTGCCCAGACATGGGGGAGGAGAGCAGCAAGTTCCCTGGCCCATTGGCTCCTTTCCCAACACTTCACAACAGAGAGGAGTGAAGATCCAGCTCGTGATCCCCTGCTGACTCTCAGGGGATGTGGGAAGGCTCCTGGAAAGTCAGTGCCAGGAATGAGGCAAGCAGTTATTTGGGATCATGTGCATTAAGGGTTCTGATTGTCTCCCCAAGCAACAGAGCCCACGAATACCAATGCCACCCTTGCCATGGGTACCCTACATGCAGAGTGAGGGCCTGATCCAGTGGGGGGGCTGAGCTCTCATTGGAGCCAAGCAAGAAACAAGATGTAAATGAGCTCTCAAATAAATCACAATGATCTCCCTTTGCAAGCAGCACAAGTGGGCCTGGGCACCCAATTAAGCAAATAATTATCCTGTCTGTGCAGCCAGGTGCTTAGCTAGCCAGCCATGCCTCAGGACCTCCCCAGCTGTCTCACTGTGCTCTGCCAAGGGCAGGCAGGCTCACCTCTATGCTGTGATTAACCGCCCCAGTGATGGAGGTCGCATGGCATGTGAGTGTCCCTTGGCAAAGCCAATTGGTCATATCCTAGTCAAACACATGTGCATTTGCTATTAGGAAATCCAGCCCAATGCCAGGGTTCAGTAAAGGACCATCCTAAACACCAAGTGGCACTGACTGCATAGAAGGTAGGAGGAGATTCCCTTGTAGCTTACACCAGTTGATGTCAGCTCTTAGCGGTCTGTGTGCAAAATCTCACGGACAGGTGTCCCCAGCACAGATCTAATGCTAAGGGACAAATATTCAGCTGGTTTCCTTACCTAGCCCAGCAATCTTTGCAAACACCTAGCCATGGATTTTCAAAGAAGCCATGCGAGTTCAGTTCCAAACTTCTATGGAATTTCAGGGGGAATTACGAGCCTAACTCCCTTAGGTTTTTTTTGAAAGTCCCAGACGTAGATTTTGCATGCACACTGGGTGACTAATTGCCTTGCTGCATGGGCATATGGAGGTGCCTGCAAATACTGTGGGCACATCTATGGAAACGAATGAGACCATCTGTTAGGAACTCCAAGATCTGAATCGGCAATGGGGACTGGATTCCCCTCAGATCCTCTTCCAGCCTCTCCAGGTCTATGCAGAAGTTTGCACTGATGCTGCCTGTTCTGTACCATTGCCATGGCTAAAGAGAGACTTCAGCCTCCAAAACTGGCACCTTTCCTCACACTAAATTCACTTCCCCCTATGGAATAGTCCCTAATGCATGTGCGGTTCTCTCCACTGCGTTGCAGAGCTGAGATGCAGAATTGTGAGATGAAAAGACATCCTGAGTATTGGCTTTCACTTGAGTCTGCTCTGCCTCTCGAGACCCATGGCTTATTTTCATCTGAACTAAAAATCTACCTGATCTCATGTCAGCAGGAGCCTGGATGAAACCCAGTTGTGCAGTTACAAGTGGTGTTCAGATCCAATCCACCCCAAAGACCAGTCCACATTCAGTGAGTGTCTGGGAAACCTGGACTGATAGTGTCCTTCAGATAAGATTCTTGCAGTTGAGTCTTTGACCTGTTAAAATATTATGGCCAAAACCTGGAACCTGTGCCTGAGGACATGGGCTTCCCACAGTGCTGCAGGCGGAGGGAATCTTTCCCCACAAGAGTGTGGAGTGGGAACAGAATTGCTTGTTGGCTGCTCTCCACAGTGGTGGGAGAAGTGAGGGGCACCTTCCCGTGAGGCTGTGTGATCTGGAGGACAGTGCACTAGTGTGGGAATCAGAGAGCTGTAGTCCACTTTCCGACTGATCTGTTGTATGACCATGGCTAATTCTCTGTCTCTCTAATTCCCCATCTGTAAAATAGAGTTAATAATACCTAGTAAATGGCCTTGAGATCTACAGATGGCATGTACTAGCTAAGGGATGGCTAGTGAATCTGTACAGTTGTAGATGCCCCACATTCTATCCTGTTCTCTCCTGCCCAATGAGTCCTCATGTTGGGTTCCTCACATTGCAAGGGGAGTGGATCCAAATTCCACTCTATCCTGCTGAGTAGAACTGGGCTAGTGCCACTGTCTTAAAGATTTGCCCTTAATGATGTGATTTGTATAAAGGTAGCACCCAGGTACCCCAGGAGAGATCAGAGCCCCATTGTACTATGGGTTGCATATACACCCAATTAGGGACAGAATCTGCATCTCAGTCTAAGTAGGCAATACAGACAAAAGACAAATTGTCCCCATTGTACAGGTGGGGAACTGAGGCACAGAGAGACTAATTGACTTGGCCAAGGTCATGCAGGCAGTATGTAGCAGAACTGGGAACGAAACCAGATCTCATAGAATATCCGAGTTGGAAGGGACCTCAGGAGGTCATCTAGTCCAACCCCCTGCTCAAAGCAGGACCAATCCCCAATTTTTGCCCCAGATCCCTAAATGGCCCCCTCAAGGATTGAACTTGCAACCCTGGGTTTAGCGCGCCAATGCTCAAACCACTGAGCTATCTCCAATGTCCCTGTCGAGTGCCACGCTGTAGTGATCCTGCACAGTAGCTACTTTTAAAACATGAATTCCTCATTCGTATGATGAAAAACAATGTTGTTTTTCTCCCTCATGTCTGATGAATGTTTGTGAAATTCTCAAGTAAGGCACAAAGCGGCTCTGCTCCTTTCTCAGTCAGGCTGGGATGAATTAAGCTTCTCACACAAATTGCTTCTTTTAAAAAGATGCATCTTCAGGCTAAAAGCCTAGGAAAACAAATGGGAAGGAGTTTGGCAACTGTTCATGGAATGTATTGACACAGAATAAAGGGCCGGGAAGGCAGAGGCAGCTCTCATTAACTCAATACATAAACTTTATGGCGGGCACAGAAGATGACAAATCTTGATAAGACATTAAACAGCTCCAGAAATGCATATTGCTTCAGCACAATGCTGTGCATCTCTCAAGAGTCTTGAGAATCAAGCTGTGCCCTGGTTGATACAGGATCAGGAGCAGAGAGAGACTGCCTGCTGTAGAGATTTTCTCATGGGTTTATCTGTGCTGAAGTCAAGGGGGCTCTACTCATTTACCCCAGCTGAAGATCTGGCCCCACATATGTATCGGGACCAGATTATCTCTCTCTACCCATCGCACCGTTTCTGCACTTGAACTGGGAACAATGGCAATTCATGGTGCTTGGGGGGAGGGCTGGACCAATACAAATAATCATCCCAACCCTTCTGAATCGGCCAGTGGAGCTGGCTGAGTGCAGAGGGGAGTGGATGTAACCCCTTCTCCAAAGGTGGTGTAGCATGCATGTTCTCCCTGAGTTCTGAATGGCATCATGCACAATGCCTCACAGTGGCATAGGGCTATAGCTATATGTCCCAATCCAGTCCATGCCATATGGACCAGATCCCAAGGGATGCTGTATGCTGACTCCCCACTTTTGAAATCAGTGGCAGTTGTGGGTGTTCAGCATTTGTCTCCATATTAATATTTATGCCTGCTAATGCCTGACATGATGCTAAGCAAAGCAGCCAGTCAAGGGCTTGATGGTCCAGTGCAGAATTAGGCACCTCTTCTCCAGTGGTTGGATGCATCCTGAAATCGCTATGTGTTTCTATGGAGCCTGCCTCCACAGTGCTGCACTGATTGGGTATTTAAATCCAAGGCAGCATTTATTGTCTAATTGCTGCTTAACAAACTCTGCTTATTACAGCCTCCTAAATGGGGAAGATGAGGTGCAATCATGTTAAACAGTTTACGCATCACTAAAATTGATTGGTAGGGAGCTCCCCCCAAGGCAAGGGATGTCAGGGGGTGTTAATGACAGGGTCCTACTTCCTCTCTCTCTCTCTCTCTCTCTGTGCAGTGCTTAAAATGTAAATGAATTTCATTATTAGCAACTCCATCACTAATTACCATCCAAAGCCATTCATTACCCTGTCAGCTTATTTGTTGGAGGACAACAGAGTGGATCGTTTAGCCCATGTGAAGGAATAGCGGAAATTAGCTCATGCATAAAGAACAGAGAGTGGGAGATGGGATGCAGATGAGCTGGAGAAGAGGATGGGGGCTGTGGGTGGATGGGGAGGAGATGGGAAAGACAGACTGACATTGGAGGGAAGAAAATCAGAGA